AGTGGTGCACCCAGAGACAAGTGTGGCCCGTCTCCAGCTCTGTGCCTGTGGGAAAGTGGATGGAGGTCAGATATGTTGGGATGTCAAGTGGGCTTGGAAGGAAGGTTGGATGTATTGGGGTGTGAGGCAGGTCTGCCCAACTTTAGGGCTGGAGAGGGAGGTCAGATATATTGGAGTGTCAGGTGGTCCCTCCAACTCTGGGGTCTGAGAGGAGACTTGTTATAACTCCAGAGTGTCTGATGTGCAGACAAGCTGACTATCAACAACTGGTCATGTTGTTGCCATGAGTCGGAAGCAACTCTATAGTAGTGGGTTTTTTGGGTTGTATAATTTGGAGCTCTGGTAGCATAATGCGTAAGGCACTTGACTGCTAACCAGAAGGCTAGCTGTTCAAACCCACCAGCCACTTCTCAGAAGGAAGGTTGAGCAATCTGCTTCAGTAGTGATACCACTTCGGAAGCCCATGGAGGGGTTGCTATGAGTTGGGTCTGACTCAATGGCATATAACAACAACAACCATGGGGAGCCAGTGATGTCAGAGTCTTATGTGAGACAGAGACGGATGGAGTACAGCCCTTTGCTGTGGAGCACAACCCTTTGCTGTGGAATTCTGTGCTCAGAAGTGCTTAGCTGTGAATTAGCACAAACACAAGAGAAGACATTCAGGAACAATTGAAAGGACTTGCATAGAAACATCACCTTCACACTTCCCAGAAAGAGAGGGATATGGACCGGCTGATAACACGCAGACCATCTGTCTTTGGACCTCCGTGGTCATGGTGCTGGGATGTTTACAACACTGAACAGAAGCAGGTGGGGCCAAGTGGGGCCTCGTCCCTGTGAGCAGGTGCTGTCTGGGAGATAGTTGTTGTGAACTCCGTCGGTTCCTGTGGTCAACTCTGCGTGCTGATACTGGCTTCCCCTTCCAGAATATGGACGTGGGGCACCTTCAGAAATGTGGCTTGGTGCCATCTTGCATTCCTGGGTCTGCTGGCCTAAAGGGGCCCTGGTGCATGGGTCCAGCAGAGCATGGGGCGGTAGTCATTCCCCAGCTCATGCTGCTCTCAACCTAACAGGAGATGTGGCTGGGTCGCCAGGTCTCCTTTGGAGTATGACACATGACTTTCTTCTGTTGGGGACTTTTCAGCTGGCAGTGGGCACTCTTCCTCACTCACTTTTAGTCATTTCCAGATGGACTGGAAAGGCTGGGAAGGGGGTCTTTGAGGGCCTGCTGGTTCAGCTCCACTTCCTGTCACCATGTGGGTCTACTTGGGGAGTCCCCATAGAAGGCCACC